TGACCTCCAGCCTGGGGCCCAGCCAGGGAGAGTCAGCTCAAGCCACGTGGGTCGGGGGTGCTCCTGGGAGGCAGCCGGGTGGTGGCCCCGGGCCCCCCGGCCTGTAGGCAGTAGTTCCTGCAGTCGGTCAGGGCCGGGGCGGGGGGGCCCGTCTGCCAGGCACCTGAGCCCGGAGGACGTCCCCAGTTCACGAGGCTCGGAGACGTGACGGGACCCACTGGGGGCACCTCCTGTCACTGTCCTCTCCCGCTTCCTGTACCCCGTCTTGGTGTGGGGTGGCTGAGGGGTGTGGGGCGGCTGAGGGGTCTCACAGGGCTTCTGGGCTCAGAGACCCCTGGGCTCAGAGACCCCTGGGCGGGTGGTGGCCTCGGTTTCCAGAACGTCTCCCTCGACCGCCAGCTTTGCCCGTTCTTTGCAGGCGTTTATGGAGTCTGGCCCCCCTGGACCTCCGGGACCGCCGGGTGAGGGCTCCTGGGCCTGGGGGAGAGCCGGGGGGCCCTTTGGAGGGACACTGGACGCCCCAGGGCTTGGTGCATGGATTCGCGGGGTCTGACCATGGACAGGAGTGGACACTGAGCAGCCACCCCCTTGCTGTCCCCAGTTCAGATCCGGCTCCATGCCGAATGGGAGAGGCACGGCCCCCAGGAGCAGGCCTGCCTGCTGCAGCCCCCGGGCGGGCCACCGAGCACCTCTGCTCGTCCTGCTCAGACAGTCCCCAAGGCCACGTGCCATCCCCCTCCTCCTGGGACCAGGCCTGGCCCAGTGCACTCAGGGCCCGCCGGGGTTGGGGGCATATTCCTTCCATTCAACAATGGGCACTGGGGTCTCTGTCCCTCCAGGTCACCAAGGGCCTTCTGGACCAAAAGGGGACAAAGGAGAAGTGGGCTCTCCCGGAGCTCCAGGTGAGGGCGCTCTGGGTGGCCCTGGGTCGAGGTGCCGTCCCACCGTCCTGGAGGGGGGAAGCAAGGTGATGGCCGGGCAGGTGTCCGTCACCCCAGTGCCGAGGAGCAGGGCTGGGCCCCAGGGTGCGCCTCCCTGAGGACACCTGGCACCGTGACGGGGATGGTGAGGGGCCCCTCAGGCAGACGGAGGTGCTGCTGAGACGCGACACGAAGCCACAGCCGCCTCCGACAACGCGGCAGAGCCTGCTGCGCTGGCCCCTCGGGACGAGCCGAGCGTGACAGGGACGTGCCGCTGACGAGCTAAGGGGAGAGGACGGCACAGAAAACCGTCCGGGAGACGGCGGGAGGGGGGCAGAGCAGGCGGGATGGGGAG